CTTAGCGGACGCGATGCGACGTATCATCATCTCGAGGAAAGCAGACAGTTCGCGTATGGGTAAATTATTATAAATAAAAAAGTGAGTGGAGCGTCGAGCGAGCAAGCGCAACGCGCGCCACCCGTAGCCGTCTTTCAAGAGGTCTTCGCGTTTCAGCCTGTCATTAGAGACTTCCTCAATGGCGTCGGCAAAGAACTCATCCAAAGACGGAAGAAAATCTCGTTCTTTAGCTTTGCACGCCTCCAAATTATCCGGATTAAGGTTCCAAAGCTTAGTAAGTTCTGTATTACCCATGTGATACATTCCTTTGGAACGTGCTTCCTTCAGGATGTCTCCAAGCAGGCGACGAGGTGGTCGTGCGGTTGCCACTGGCTCAGTGCAGCTCATTGCTTGCGGTAATGCTTTTCGGAACTCAGGACATCCGTCATTTTTCCATGCATTCCAATGCTCCTCGCGTGACATTATTTTCGTGACAATATATTCGAATTCTTCGCCATCTGGCGGAGTTTCCTTTAGCAGGCTGTGTACTTTTTCGCTAGTCGACTGAATAAAAAATTTCTGCTCAGGGAGCAGTTCATACGCTGTCTTAAATCTAACAGTTGTTGTTAAGTATTGAAATAAAATCAGAAACTGCACCAGCACAAAACGCCTAAAGTTAACATCATACAATTGCAAGTCCAGTAGTTTCTGATTGGTCAAATACTTAGAAAAGTAATTATTGATACTTTCTTTATCATACGATGAGCTTTTATCTAAGTGTTCAAGTTTCAAACCTTCAAATGTGGAAACAATACTAGCCGCATGTGCACAAAATACCTTCCACTGCACTTTGTCATAACATTGATTTGGATTTCGAAAGAAATCCTGCAATGACCAGAACTTACAATACAAACTGTAATCAATAAAAATCTTGCCCTCTTGGGCATCCACATCATTCTCATCATCAGCATCCCCACATTCTGAGCCATATTCAGTAATATTCTCTAAATTGAACTCACTCACAACATTCAGGCCTGACCTCTCAGAGAATGGGAAAAACTTAGCCAAAAACAATAAGATTCTACCACAGAATATAGTAGAATTTGATTTAGACAGTCTCCGCAGCAGGTCATTGCACAATCTAAGCAAAATATTCTTACAACTAGAAAAGAACAAGTCCTCCTTCCAAATGTGTACATGATGCTCCACATAGCAGAACATTTTCTTGCAGTCATCAAGTGTTAACAGATCAAAGATGTCACTTAGCAGTGTGACTGGTGTTGAGCTAGTGAGTATGTCTTTTCTGCATGCTTCTATACTCAGTGTGATGAACTCTTCGATGACACCAACATTCATTTCAGCTGATATCAACTCAAGTTGAAAATCACGGAAAGCCTGGTCAAAGCAGGCTGTAACATCCTGATCTGTGTGTTGGAATGATTTGTACTTGCGTTCCAGAGGCTCAGTCGATTTCGCCTTGAGCGCTTTTTTAATCTCAACCTAAAATACACGTTGAACGATAGTGAGAAAAATTTCACAAAAAATTGCACGAAACTTACCTTCACCTCAACTCGAATTGAATCCAGCGTAGCAGCCATGGCGAGTTCTTCTAACTTGCAATCGAACTACTCACAAAATATATACCTACTACAATAAATAACAGTGTTTCGATATCATGAATTGTTGATTTATATGCAACACGAGATGTTATGCTACTGCTGCCCGATGCTATGCTAGGCTATCTACCAACAATACTCGCGCATGTGCAGGCGAAGCAAGACTCATGCTGCCCTCTGAGGTAACGTTGTGCATCAACAGCGGAATCGTTTGACGTTTGTAGAAATTTCGCGACGTTTGTGAGATATCGCACGGGCTGGCACGGACGGTATTGTTCTGTCCTCAAGGTTCTCGACGCCAAACAGACGAATTGTGGTCTATCTCAACGTGCTCCAACGCAACGTATACTATTAGCTGCTAGCGGCGATGTCTCTTCGGAATGATGGGTTTCGGTGAAATGGAGGAAGATCCGTTCTTCGGGTGAGCATCTCGTCATTTTTTCGTTGTGATTTTGTGAACTTTTGACGTGCGCCATGCTTTTTCCAAACATTCTAAGTAGCTCACACGTTCACTGGCGATATGTTGCGCACGATAACTTCACATTGCTCAATATTGCCGTGTAAATTGCAGCTCTCACATGCGCACCGTGCGCCAGATGAACAATATGATGAACTCGTTGTTTGCGGACCCCTTCGGGATGATGACTCCAGCGTTTGACAATCGAGCACTGGTCCATCCGGGACACCATCGCAACAGCGTTGGAAACATTCACAACTCACTGATGTCCTATGGAGGCTTTCCGGATCCCATGCAGAACATTAACAGACTACTCACTGGTTCTCTGGATTCACTCGGGCCGTCACATTCGTCTTTCAGCTCTTCCTCCACTGTGGTCAGCATGACTTCTGGCCCTGATGGCAATCCACATGTAAGTAACTTACCTGAAACATTACTCTCATACAATTTTCAACCAAAGAAATAAATACATAATTCATGCATGAGGGATTCAAATGAACATATACAATGCTTGTAACCCGACACCACATTAAATAATGCATGCTAAATGCCAAGTAATCTAATAATAATAAGTATGAAACTTAAAACTCTGTATGCACTGGATTGATATTAATAAATAGACAATACTGAACTCGATACGTTTTAGGTGTATAAAGCAACATCGTCCACTCGAGTTGTGCCCGGCGGTGTCAAGGAGACGCAGAGCACAGTATGCGACTCCCGCACGGGCACGAAGAAGATGTCCATTGGGCATCACATTGGCGAGCGCGCTCACATCGTGGAACGCGAGCAAAACATGCGCAGCGGTGATCAGGAGGAGCGCCAGGATTTCATCAATCTCGAGGAAGAAGAGGCTGACGAATTCAATCGCGAGTGGGAGTCACGAACGCGCAGCCGATCCGATATCCCTCGCATTGGCGGTGGTGCGCGCATTCCGCGCCACAACTACGGCGCGGTGCCGGCGCTCACAGCCGGACCAAGGTGGGTGTACTCTCCCCGCAGGCATTGATTCACCAGATCGATTAATATTTCAATTCAGTTGTACGCGCACAGCCTGGATGATTCTGTAGCATTCTGCATTTACATTTGTTATCATTTCACAATCTCACCACCACATTACATTTACCGGCGATGCGGTGATTTTGTTTGAGTGCTCATTTTTTTGTTTTTGTTTATGTGCGTACATATTGCATGGTACTGTAGCCGCCGCAGTAGGGACAGAATGTCCGCCAGTGCGCCGTTGGCGCTGCCGCGACGCACCGTCCGCTCGTCGCCGTTGCTCGCGCTTCCGTCCAGCACGTCCAGGTAAATCGATGGGGTTTTCAAGGGAATGTTGCGAACATTTGCTTATTAACCAATATCAACGTATCATACGGTGGCGAAACATGTCGCCGGTAACACCCCCCACGTGCCTTGTGTGCTAACCGCATCATCGACATTATTCCCCCCCAGGATGATTCGAGGACAGTTTGTTTACTCATGCGTTGTACTTTTGCAGGTACTCACGCAAACATTAACTCGCACGTCTATCCCCCTCACATCTCTCTGTCGTTTGTCGTAACTTGTGTTTTCCGCGGCGGCGCAACCCGCAAAAACACAACTTGCACAAATCGCGATCTCCTAGGTTGTTCTTGTTCACTTAAACAAGTATGCGTACGAGTACGACAAGTAAGTTGATCTCTAACACACGAACTTCTGCCACACGCATCTAATCGTCTAACGTTCGCCTAATACTTTATACCTGTTGTATACTTTTCTCACCTCGAATGGTGTCGATGTTGCTCTCTGTTGTGTTGTTGTGGACGTTTTCCGGACTGCTGCCTCTCGCGGCCCCTTCGCCTCTCTGAATTACCTTACCTTAACTACTCAATGACTAACTCTTTGCGACGAATCGTGCAGATAACGATAATTCCGTTTGTTGCCAGTTCACTTATAGCTGTTTCTTGTGTGTGCTCGGAGTTGTATGACGGTGCGCTGACTTAAGTCAATATGTTTCTAGCACGATGGCCCAGGCGTCCCGGACACCGTACACGCCGCCTGGCTATGCACCACACACCAGGAAACACAAAACGAACATCAAGACGGTGTCCGGCTCACCGCCACCGCAGCACCAGCCGACGCACGACGACGAGTAGTGAAGCAGCCACCCGCATCCCTCTGGGCATCTCTTCTCACCGACGGCGACTCGTTGGCGTGTTGCTGCACTCTCTGATATTATATTATTCCGTTTAGGTTAGTTAACTACAATTTAACAACGCGCGCGATCACGGCGAATCAAAAACCGTAGCAGCAGAGGACAAGCGCGCGCGATTACAACAACAAAAAACGACAGACAAACACTGCGTTTGTCACTAGACTAATTTTACACATATTGCAGTTTTTTGTTGGATTTCATTTCATCTCGCGTAGAAACAACAGTTTGTATTATATGTGATTTAAAACAATGATTTTTATTATGAATTTGCTAGTGAACTCTCGCTAGTTCGACAACTCTAGTATTAATTCCGGTTTAGTTCGTGTGTTTTCTTTCGTTCTTGAAGGCTAGTTATTTGCGGAGGAAGTATTCTTCCTCACTAAAACGTTCGAGGCAGAACAAACACAAACAAAACTAGCATAAACAAAACTAATTTCGTAGCATAAACGTGTATTGATTCTTTCACATTGCGCGGTAATCATCTACCAAGCTAAATAGTAATATAAGTACTATATATTTTAGAACAGATGCAGCGCTACGTATACTGGTAGCGCCATCCTGTTAAGTTACTGAAACAATTGCGAAGTAATTATTACATAGAACATTCGGAGGAGAATCTATTTTGATTTTGAAGCAAGGTTTATACTCAAATCATGCTTGTATTATATTTTTATGGCGACAAATGTTTGGAGATTAGCTTAGTACTATCGTACATCTTACAAGTAATTAGTATATTCAGTGATTAATGCGTTCGTCTCAATGTATTCTCGCGTATATTTTCGAACATTTCGTACCGCATTGTAGTTGAGCAAAAGAGTGAAAAAAATGTCAGGTTCAATTTATATAGCGAATGAAAACCATCGTTTTATTATTCAGCGTTGAACGAAAGAACAAAACAAAATTCTTTGTGTTGATTTGACGACAATGAATATGAATTTGAATCAATAAATAAATGTAACAATGATATCTACAATGATGTGATGATGAGTTGTTCTTTGTTTCCCACCACATTGGAATCAACAATTGCAACAATCGGTGTTGAGTTATTCGCGAATTGTTATGTTTTCACGTGTTACTACTTGTTCCCCGACACAATAGATGATTAATGCTATAAATATACATGCATTCTATAAACCAAGTCATTCCATCTTGATGTTGACAAAATCAACGCAGGCGATTGTTGCAGTTAGTGTAAACAACAAAAATTCCATGCAACACAACACGTGTTTCAAGTTGCGACTTGTGACGTAGAAAAGAAATAAATATATTTGAATATAAATACATAAAAATGATTATCACACCACCCCCAACGTCATAGCACCCGTACTTTTCATAAAATCAGGATAACTACTCTCGATACCCATTTCTCTTGCCTGTTTCAAATGCGCCTTCCGCATCTTCTTGTGCCTCCTCTTGATGTACTTCTTGTTGAGTCGCAGTTGAATCTCGGTGAACGTCTTGCCTTTCGTCTCCGGCACACAGAAGATCACAAAGAAAACACCCAGCACACAACAAATCATGTACAGCAGAAATGTGTAATGCATTCCCATTGCGTTGCTCATCGGCTTGAAGAATTTTGATACTAGAAAACTGAGCGTGCTGCCGTAGAACGTGTTCACTGCGATAGCAATGCTCTTGATGTTGGTGGGGAAGATCTCACTGAGGACGACCACTGGTACTGTCGTCACGCCAATGTTGTTCATCACGAGGAACACGACGATTCCGGTCGTTGGCAGCCATGATATCGCATCCACGTTTGACCCGGCTTCGTTTTGCAGATAAAAATACGCGGCTTCTCCGGCATATGCTGCTGCACAACCCAAGGCGGAAACAATCAACAGGGGTTTCCTGCCGACTTTGTCCACGAGGAAAATTGCCACGAATGCTAAACATAAAATGCGCATTATTATAAAATGTCAGTCATCAAATTGAAATCACTTACCAGCAGGAATCTGAACAGCCCCAAAAATAATACTGGAATATTCTGGTGATATACTACTTCCACTGCTTGCGACAATTTGTTGCATGTAACTATCAATAGCGGAAACCCCACTGAATTGATTCAAACTCTTGATTCCTATCGAGATGATAAATGCCTGGCGGTATTCTTCATTACTGATGAATTCTCTAAACGTGCACTGATTCTGCATATCATTCTCCACTGTATCTTCAATTTCCAACAACTTTTTATCAATATATTCCGGTGTTGCGTTTAATGTCGCCAGTGTGACCAAAACATCCCTTGCTTCTTCTGTTTTCCCCTCAGCGACTAAATGATAAGGAGATTCTGGCATGAATGAAATCAGTACCAGAGAAAGCAAGGGTACCACCATACACACAAGGGACAAGGCAGTGTAAGAAATAAACGGTCCCACGGCAAGCACAATAAAAGATCCAAGAAGTTTCATTATCGAGGTGATAATCCCAAGTTTTCCTCGTAGGTCAACATCAGCCACCTCGCCGGAGTACATCGTAGTCGCTGAATATGCACAGCCAAAACCAAGCCCACCGATTACCCTCGCCGCACAAATTACAATCGGTGACTGTGCAAAGATGATAATAATCCACGGGATTAACATGAGTACTGAAGACGCCATTAGAGATCCTTTACGACCTAATTTCTGAATGGTCCACGCAACGGCAAGACAAGATGGCGGCGTTGCAAGTGACACAACCGACGCTAACCAGGATCCTTCTTCCTGTAATACAATAAAAAACATTTAATAATCAGTTCCATTATTTCCGGTTTATGAATTAACCTACATCGGTTAATGGCCTCCCAATGGGTGAATCATTCCCTTGCAAAATCGGCAGTGTTGGCGACGGCCACGCGCCGTACATCGAAACGGAAGTAATGGTCATGGTTGCTGAAAAACACAACAACTCAATGATTTATTCATCAATAATGTCCATTTGTAGCTTATCAGTGCGAAATGCTTGATTGCCACCAGTCAGTTCGTGTATTAACTTGTATCACATTGAAACAAAACATAAATATTTAAAATGATGTTCTGCGTGTTTTTTTGATAACATGACTGTTGACTAACCGTCGTGAGGAGTATATCGTCATGGCTTACCGATGCAAACGGTGACATACTGCATGTAACGTATATTTTGAAACATATTCCAGATCATGTTCACAACTACACTCAAAGTGTATAGTTAATACTCAAATTTCAAACCGAAATAGATAATTAAATACACTGTTTATCGTTCCAAATATCACTATTATTTTAAATACTATTAAATTTTAAAATTAACGTTTAAAATCTGAGATATTTTACGGAGGCGTCATTTTAAAGCTTTGAATTGTTACTGAGATCACGGAGATTAGTGAACACACGCGAGTTGCTTGTTTTTCTCGAAGATTTTGTTTGAAAATTTTGCTGGAGTTTTTAGATGTCAGCACCAGCACTCGAGCGAGCGCACTCAAGCAAAGCGTTCGCGCTTTTTGGATTTATATACCTGAATGCATACGTTTCCGAAAAGTAATTACTCTAACTATATGGAAGCTACTCGCGCCCCACCAATTGACTCAATTAGACAAGTGCTTTTCTGTAATTAATTCAACAGTGATAGTATTTAAATTATCTCAATAATATTCACAAGAACTTTACACACTCTCCAGTTTGGTTGAAGTTTGCTTGTAAACTGAACATTTTTCTGCACTACACTTTGACACGTTTTTTGTGTGTGCAAACACTATAAAAGTCACTATCGCCAACACTAACTTATTTGTTAAACACCTGATTGATATTCACAAGCATTGTGAAAACTTAATCCATTAAGTAATGTGAAATGTAATGCCAAATATCAGCAAACAGCAAACTCATCGGCACTGATTAGTAATTGTTTATTGCTACAACGCACAACTTCAGTCCGCGTAATGAAAGATGGCAATAATATTTTCACAACCGAATTAACAATAGTTGCCATAATACAATGGACAAATGTCACCAAGATTTGCAAACATGCCTTTGCAATTAATTGCATTAATTATTATTAATCGCTGCTTGTCAAATATTACTCAGTTATACTCTGGAAAATGTTGTGTGTTTGTTTTTGTTATTAAACAAGCGCATTTCGCAAGAGTGTTTTTTCTATGATTAATTTCCAGTTGAAAAAATGCGATGAATATTCAACTGCACTAATTTATCACCGGAGCATTACCTTACGAAATTAGCGGATCGTTTTTTACCATTTCTGATTCATGTGCAGTACGCAAGCACGTGTACGTCAATACATATAATACATGTAAATTCTCGAAAAGTTTAGCGTCAACATATTCAAAGTAATATCATATACGTGCTGTTTCAGACCATTTGGAGTACGATTCTGCGATATTTCACTGATAAATACTATTTTCCGCCAACTAACGTAATAATAAAGATAATTCCGAAATAATACGCCAAATATTAAACATTATACTTTCAAATAAAACGAACATTGTATTCGATAGCCATGCTAATCTAGAAATTATGATTTGGGACAATATGTTTTGAACGCTTTTTATTGCGCGCTTATCAACCATTGACGCGTGAAACAAATTCGGTTGTCGAAAAAACTGGAATTGAAAGCGAACAATGACGGAAATGCAATTTTATATCTATTAACCGTGTTTCTGGGTGCAACTTGCACACGACCCAAGGCAAACAATATTTCGAACATTCTCCTTGACATCCTTGTTGACCAAACTTAATAAAAACTACATCTTCAACACCAACAAATTTCAGCAAATCTGAATGAAACTGTCGCCGTTCAGTGTTAAAAATGTAGAATGTATTTATAGCACTTTCATGGTAAACAAATTTTCGTTTCACAACAAGCTACATTCATAAAAATTAAGATTAATTAACATTCCGTGGCCAGAATTTTTCAGCTTTGAACCCGTTTGTTATCAACACGCGCGTTTATCAATGCGAAAATGAAATAATTTTATTTGTTTACAATGGAAGTGTTTTTTTGTGCGGCGTGGTGGCATTGGGTAACATTTCGGTATGTACTTATTAAAGCTATAACTGTAACAAATATCACTTGAAAACTAATGAGTTTCCGCACCCGCTAGAATGAAAGTAACGCGTAAAACGTTATCAATGGAGAAGGTGAACTTACCTCTGGCGCCACACAAAACAGAATGAATCAACAAGAAACTTTTAATCAAAACAACACCTGAAATAAATGCTTGCAACACTTGGAAACTTTAGGAATAATTGTGGTTGATTTATAACTCTTATTTAATATCTTTTAGTATAGGCAATATATACAAATTATAAATGAATTCGAATAAACAAAGTAATATCATTTGAAAATTATTACGAAAAATACTTATATGTTACAACCTATCATCTATACTGCAGTGATATTGTATATAATTCTATATATTTGTGTAGGTATCACTCACACCTAAGAATTTGAATTGTTTTTTAAATTAACGCGAGATCAGTCTTACAATATTTATAACTCGATGCATATAAAAAAAGTACAAAAATGATTGGCTTCTTCTTATATCGTAAGTAATTTAATAGTACTGGCGCAATTAATGTCTATTCTTTAATGACTAGGCCTCCCTACGTCTAAATTTACAGATACACCCAATAAATTGCAACACTCTGTGAGAACGAGAAATTAAGAGTCACTTCCACTGAAGAAAATAAATGTTATAAATGTATGTAACGTCGAAAAACAAAAAATAATAATCATCATCATAGATATTGATTACACGTATGTCGAAAATGTCTCGTACTTGTTCGTACATATTTTATCGATATAAACGTAATGTTAAACCATCGTAACGTTCCTACGCTTCTTCTCGCCGCTATTTACCGAACTCATAGATCCCTGTAAACTTGGATTGAAAGGCACTAACGTTTCATTCCGTTGCATTGATTGATAAATCTGATGCGCCCCTTGCTGGTTGGGGCTCTGGATGGGCTGATGCACGCCGTAGATGTTGTAATTCACCGGGTAGCCATTGGCGTTGAATGCAGGTAGTGGCGGCACTGGTGGAGGGAATTGTCCCTGCACGTAGTGCTCGGGTACCTGGCCCATAACTTGCATATGTTCCGGGTTCTGCCCCGAGATTGACATGTGGTCCAGTTGGGACATGGCGTCGTGATGCTGCAATTGCTCATCCTGCATCATGTTTCCATCCATGGGGCTGTGGCGGCGCTCATGTTCGTGGAGCAACTGGCTAGCGCTCCAGGAGTTGTACGGACTGAGTGTTTGACCATTGCGTTGCAGTGTATTATTGGAAATCACACTCAGTGCGCCATAATTATTATTAGGTGAATTCATTTGATCGTGTTGCATTTGTTGTTGTTTTAGTTCTTCGATCAACTGTTGTTCCTGTTGATGCACCAGTGAATACCGTTTCTTGGGTTCATCTTCATATCCGTAGTTGCTGACTGGTACACCGACAGTATGGTGAGCTGGATAGTCGGCCTGGTAAGTATCCTGTTGGGTATTCTGCGGCATATTCAATGGGGACGAAGGGACAATCGTAATTGTCGAATTCAATTTGTCAGTTTTGATCTGGTTTGCCTTACTGGACTTGTGACCGCCATTTGTGCGCCTCTTAATCACACAGAAGTAACAATACAGTGTCAAGAGGACAATCAAGAATAAGATACCAATAATCACAGGTAGAATAATTTCCAAACCAAGATTCATTGTTTTCGCAACGCTGGGACCCAAATTATCACTGCCGGCTTGATTTACAAGGAACGGCCAGGAGGAATCATTCGTTGTGTAAGTAGGAGCCACCGTGGGTGGCGGAGGTGGGGACGGAACCAAAACTCGAATCCAGTTAGAAACTGGACCTGGTTTCGAATCGGAAGAGATCTGGGCGTAGGCCCTGATCGCAAAGAATAAGGGTTTGTCCAAAAGATCACGATCCTGTGACATGTCAATTGTAAACGTGGTTTCGGACCCGGTTGCAAGAATGAATGGAATATTACGGCCTTCCCATGGAGTTGTATTCGTATCATATTTGTCAACAATTTCCTGGACGCTTCTCGCATATTTAACTTCATAACGTGCTACATTATGACCGCCCATGTCAGGAGATGTCCAAGTAAGCAGAGCTTTCATGTCTTCAGGTTTGACATCGACCTTTAAATCGCCAATGCGTCCAACGGGCAATTCATTATCGATATCATCACTGGTGATTTCAACGGTGCGTGCGGGCAGGACTCGCTGGAATGGATTTATCGGTTCGACGTTTGAAGTGCGGATGCGGCTACCGCAGCACTGTGTGTCACTGTTTTTGCTCGCGGCGTCCGTCCAGCTATAAGCAGTATTGCCGTTGTCGGAAGCTGTAACTTCGAATGTGTACGTTCCGGGACCGCTGGCGGCTGCGCTATAATATCTTGAATAGACGCCATCGCCTTTGGTTATATCCGGATCGCCGCTGCCAGTGTCCAAAAGTTCGAGCGTTTCCTTGTAGATTACAGTGCCGTTGATCTCGGTTTTTGTCACTAAAACTTCGATTTTCGCTCCCATTACGGGATAATCCCCGCGTTTGACTTCGGTGTAGAGCGTCAGCGGCGCATTCGGCGAGCTGCGCTTGATCCAGAACCGACCTCGCACAACTTGAGCGGATTTAGTTTTCGGAGTGGCCATCACCTGCAGAAAATGCGGCTGCGGATTGCCAACAAAAGGCTCAATGGTGTACGTCCAGGTGCCTGGCTCCGAGATGTTCGTCGTTAAGCTGATGATCTTTACTGACACCAGGATATCACTGCGGCGCGTGAACACCTCCTGGCTGGGACTGGTGAGCGTGAGGGATTTGATCAGCGGAGTGTCAACGTCATGAGTGTAGAGCATGAAACGCGCTGGTTCACCCATGTTTGCATCCAGCATAAAGCTACCGGTAATTGAATTTCGGCCATCGTTGCGGATTTCACGTCGATGGATCTCCATCGGCAGATTGCTGGTGGTGCAATACTTCTGCACGATGTTGTGTAGGACGTTGGACAGTTGGAAGTAGGTGGTCAGCACGCTCGTGTCAACATTTACTTTCTTTTCCGCAACCGTATAGGCCTCGCCGCCGGTACCCTCGGCCAAAATGTCCAAGCTCTGTACGCGCGTAATCTCCGGGTAGTTGATGGTGGCCATTTTGACTTTGGACTTCCGGGCTTCCTTCATTAGCGTTTCGATGTTGGCGTTGCGGTTCATGCCGGGAGCGATGACAATGACGACGTTATTAGCGGGGCCCGATGCTTTGGTCCGTTCGTTGAGCATTTCGATCGCCTCCTTGAGGGCACAATGCAAGCACGGCGATTGTGAGGAATCGCCGGGAGCATACGGCACGGCCGAAGACAATTGATCGCGGTTGTCGATGCCAGGTCCTTTCATTGATACGATATTGAGCAGCTTTACCGAGCCGGTCTCGTTGGTGGCCACCATGCCAACCTCAACATTTGCATCCTCGGGCAGATCATACAACACCAGTTTGCGAATGGAGATCCGCAGGAATTTCCAAGACTCACGGATCAGCATGTCCTTTGTATTCTCGACAACGATGACGAATCGTGTGGTATTTTGCTTCTTGAACGTAATCCTCGGCGTCGTGTTTTGAATCTGACTGTTCTGGTGGCTGCTACCGAAGGTGCTCGTAGCAAAATCCGGATGCTTTATGATCACTTCGAAAGTACTCTTCCGTTCGCAAATTGAATTATGCTTCGTGGGTGCGTAGCGGTCGTGATTGCCCTCGTCGCAAAACATAGATACCGATGGCGCCTCAGCGCCGAACATGATTGAGCTGCGCGCTTTATCGTCGACCATTTTAGTCACGTTGAAATCAGACGTAGATCCGAAGCAAATTCTGCAGACAAACAAAAAAACACAAGCATGAATCACGGATGAATCGATTAGCAGCGCAATCGTCATGCGGCCGGAGCACAGCCGGCCTACTCACCCATTGTCGGAAATGGGAAGGTCTGAGCATCCAGTAACTTTCACCGATTGCGAAACGTCGTCATGGTAGCACATCGGATAGATCGGATCGTCAAAGTATCCCTGCTCCTCAAACACGCCGTAGCGGTACATCGCGAACTCTTTGATCAGGGAGCGAGCTGTATACAAACGAAGGCGATTAATTTCGTCACACCCCCGCAATCATGTGCGCGCGGCAACACTTACCCAAGGTGTCATCTCTGCGCTCCAAGCTCTCATAGCCGAGATAAATCTGATCTCCTTTCTGTCCACAGCCGGAAGACTGTTGCGTGTAGAGTCGGCCACGTGCGGGCCCAGTCGGCTGGATGCTGATGTCGGAGATCTCACCGGAACCGGAAACAACAGGTTTCGATACGCAGGAGTCGGGCCACGATGCCGGAAGGACGACAGTTGCGGAGCGTAAGAACGCTCTGCCATCCAGGGCGGAAAACAGGTATTGGGATGCACTTGTAAGGGTTGCCTGCAACACACAAGAGAGCAACGAGAGTTTAATAAAGAGGGGGAAATTTTAATTAAAACATATTAGCAATGCAGATACCGACGAATTTGATGAAATCGCGAATGAGTACGAACGACATACCAGCGCGCGCGCGCGCATATTCTTACCACCACGCGACTATTTTAATATCAAAGCGAATAGTTTGCGCCCCTTGAAGGGCCGAGACCAGCGTTGACAATGCGTCGAATGTCGAACGGATAATACGGGGCGATGTGGGCCTTTGATGTCGCCAAAATTGACATGCCAATGGGGTCGTTACTGTTTATATTAAATTCTATGCGCGACGCGCACGAAATGTATTTAAATTGCAACGGCGATAGAGGAGTTCCCTTGCGCGCGCCCTCAACTGCATCGTCGTCTGGCATTCATTTCCGGTTGTTTATCGTTGTCGCGTCGCGCACAACCCGACCACCGACTGCTGCGTTTGATAGAACGGGTCGAAATAATAATTGCAGCGCGATCGTCATAATATGGTACTTCTTTGATATTAGTGAAATTGCATCGGAATTGCGCCGCGGCACGTGTGCCAACGGAGCGCAATTCGAATCTTCACGCGCTGATAAAAGTTAAATCGTGTCGCCACAGCGATGATATCAAATATGTTGTTTCATGCAACTGCTGCATGCCCAGACGGCGATTGCAATGGAATTCAATCAACGCGAGACACCATAAACGGATATTTTATCAGCGCGTACAAACATTAGGCATGTAGATACGGTTTCAACGGCGTTCCATTAGCACTCGACCATTACCCAACCGACGTTTTCTTTTCATAGCACACAAAGTTCGGAATTTTTTTAAACACAATGCCATAATTACTACACTCGGCATATTATTGACGTCTCAATCCTGACAATGATAACTTCACCTCGGAGTGATATTAATAGATGCTGCTAGAAGTAAGCGACGGGTGTAATTTGAATCTTTTAAGAAAATTACACCTTGCGCGTTGCAACCGGTGACGAGCAGGTTTATTTTTCTAAATGACCAACTCTGCACAAAGAGCCGGCCGACCGAGCAGAGGCCTGGGGTCCGTGGCCCACCGAACAAAACGTTTCCGGACCATAAGCGGACACACCTCGCGCACCGTTGAAAATCGTACGTGAGAAACCGGCGGATATTTTTCCGAATGCGTACGAACGCATAAACTATCCGTGCCTCTTTTTTTTTTACCTTTTTATTTATGACACGGACGACGCCGCCCGACGATAATTCGCCGCGCTATCCTCTCTAGCGCTGGGCAATAAAACCGGCGACGATACGTGAATGGAATTAGCAAGTATCAATTATTACATACACAATGCGGCAGGTTGAGGATTGACCAACGCGCAGTTGAATCATAAAACGAGTCATTTTCGTTCGAAGAATATGTGTGAGCGGCTAGAGTCGACGCATCACCTCACGAAATCATGACGTGCCTAACAATTATTTACTCAATACCGCGCATCGATGGTACACACGTATGTGAAAGTTGAAGGTTTCTTTGACGCAGCGCATAAATTTTCAATAGCGGACACATGGGTGTGGATTCGAATTGAAATCAAAACTTTAGAAAAACTTGTATGTACTTGATGCGAGAGGCGATTTATTAACGCAAACAATCGCCAAACGAAGGAGAATGTCGACAACACCACGACCGAAACACGCCGTGAAGAGTGAAGAGAGAAACGTTTACGAGAACAACACGGCTCTTTAAGCATTTTTTTCTCACTGATGCCGGTACACGGTAATCAAGCAGCGAGATAAAAGTAGAGGGTGTGAGCTTGTAATTAGCTTTTAATAACAGGCCCATTTCGGCGCGTATTCTTATGTAATTTACATGAGCGTATCATTAGATGCTCGCAACCGAAACCCGAAAAAAGCATGATGAAAAATCGTGGGGGAGTTGCAGTTTGTAAATGCCGGCCACGGCGAGGTTCAAGTTTTGTCTGTCTGGCTGTGTATTCGAAGCGAGCGCGCAGTTCATTTTCGAGGCGCAACGGTTTGTTGATATTTATGCACACCTTGAATACCAAACCGAAGCGAAGCAAAACTCGGTCACAAACCGCGCGCGCAGAACGAATCTCTCGCTGCTTGGAAATATCGACGACCGATTAGGGCCATTACGGGATGAGCAAAATAACAAATATTTTGTAATACCGCAGCACAATGTGTAATAGCGCTTTCACTTCGGAATGCCAACGCGTCCACCGACGCGGGCATCGATCTGCGATCGGCATATGGCTCGACACGAATTTTGAAATGAAAAATGAAACAATCCCAAAGCGCAGCGGCAAAAAAACCGAAGAAGCGAGAGCGCATCTGTTGCACTCTTGTTTCGCGGCGCGTTTTAATCAAACGGTATGTAGCGTAAACGCATAAAAAAAACAACAACACAACAACATCAAAACACAAACGAAAAAAAAACTAATCATTTTATCGCACAATTAGGCAGCGCTTTGGAGTCATTAAGTGAAGTTAAAAGTATTAAAAGTATTACTTTACGCGACGAAGTTTTCATGCATTATTAATGCGGACTTTGCGCTCGTGCACAAATAATATTAAACGGGGATGCGTCGTAAATCCGCTCGGGCGGACACAAGCAAAATGTAAATCGAGACGTAGGTTGGTGTTTTTTTTTGCGTGGAGAAGGAAGTACGGAAGCCTTATCCTATAAGAAAGCGTTTAGGGTTTAAGATTTCAGTTTCCTTCGATGGAACAGACGGCGCGACATGTGTCGTTCTGCGTTCCAGCCGCGACAATAAAAGACTTCTCCTCCTCGCAGCAGCAACCTCCAAAAACATGGGAGCGCGCATGAAGATGGTACTTTACTCGGCGGCGCATTATGAAATTTTTAAATATCTTCGTGCGGCGCAGAGCGGCTGTAGTTGTGTGGTAATTACATCGTCGTTGTACCTCTTGTACCTCTCTGCACAAGTGCATACGGCGCGCAGCGTGCAACAAACGGTACGAAAACGTGAAGAGAAGTCAAGAAGATTGCTTGTACTATATTAGGTGCATGTTTTGTGCCGGCGAGTAGTATTTGACGGACATACGAGTATGTACCATAGTTTTTAGCGCGTCACGATTATACATACGCTTCCACAAACACAGAGACGCGCCGGACTGTTCGAGAAATGTAGTGTATGAGTTTCTCACGCTTCTTCCATGCTTCCACTCTACGCTGCGCGCTTGAAGAAGAAAAAAAAAACAGCCGATGGCTTCGATGTACCTTCTCGGCCTGTCCGCGCAACTTCTCGGAATCATCGTATATGCACGCCGCGCGCAATCTTTGGCTAATGGATAAATGGCAACGAATATTGGCCGATTAGAAGACGCGCGCGCGCTGTGGTAAAAGTGTGTCGAAGTGGAATCGGCGGGCCGCGCGACCTCGGCCGGCGATTTCAGCAGCGGCTTCGGCTTCGAGACAGCTAATTGATTTGCTAGATTTTTCGGCGCACCGGTACCGTACACTGTGGAAGAGTTGCAGCAGCGCGCGCGGTTGTTGGTCGAGAGAGCGCCGGCGACTCTTCGACCCGAAGATTTTTGTGGCCATTGTGGTGAGGTCACGTCGCGCTGAACCGTTACTTATAAATATGAAAAGACGCTGTTTTAATACACGTACTTACACATATTGCGCATCTCGACACACCGGGACAGGTATTAATGCAAGACACAAACAAACACCGAGGCATCACAATCGTTACTTCGGCTATTCTTCGGATTACGACGCCGTCGTCATCTTTCACGCGCGCGCGCTCGCAAGATTTGTTCAAAACTTACCAACTTTTGCATCTATTATGTATTCATAGTTATTTTTCGCGGTTCCAGACGACCTCTGAACTTTGCGCTTCTTGTCGATGTCACGCCGGGGCATTTAAACCGAGCGAGTTGGTACGAACGCGTTTGAGAACGCGACAAAAGATGCTAATCGCTGGAACATGCACGAGCGATGAATAAACAGCGAAGAGTTGTTGCAGAGAGACAAGCGAGTGAGTCTCTGCACTCGCACTCACGTGCAATATCCGAATAATATTAACGGGAATTTTGGAAGATGCGCCGCGATACTGCATACCTCCGCATTGCTGCGGCTCGCATCAAAAATGCGCGCGATCAAAACTTCCAAGTTAGAATTTAATTCCGTAATTCTCCTCTCGACGAATGCCGCGGATACTTCAGGCGTCCGCTTTACGTGTTTACCAAACTTTTCCCTTTTTTTTCTCTCTTCTCTTCTTGATCTTAACGCGGTGGAATTAACGCGATTGCCTATTCGGAGTTGTTTTTATTTGCCTAAAAGCATTTCCAAAACCGGCCACGCAATCTTCCATTAAACAATAATTGTACAGATTCTCACCGAGTTTAATGTGGTACATGCCGAATGAAAGTGGAAAAAGCCGCATAAAAAAAAAAACAACAAGAAAATGCTTCGAGCACAAATACGCATAACTGAACGCGGTCGTAACATCGAAATTATCCAAATAAATAGAATTATAACGACATCAGCGGCGGCTTTTTCTTCGCGCTGGCCGCTCGCATTTTATTTTATTAATGCTCGTGATCATGAGCTAATGAGTTTTCAAGTATGCAGTAAATTTTAAACGTTAAAACATCCGAAGCACGAATTATTTGCCTTTAGTTAGTTGTTTACGTCGTTTGACATGAGTTTGTAAAGTGCACTAAGCCCATATAAGTTCATATCAAAACTAACAAGAGAATAAGAACGCGAACAAAGAGACTGTCAATACAGACAGAAAAAAAAGGGTAAGTATTGTCACGAATCGATTTAAGAATACATAGAATGACGCAGGGTTTCACAGGGTTTCATTTGCGTCCACCACACGACATGTCTAATTAATGATGGACAATTTATACAAAAAGCATAGGTTAGCGCGCAAGTATATTAAGACATTTAGAAAAATAGTACTCATTAATAATTCGGCACGGGATAAATTAATTTAACAAACATGGAATTAGCTAGACAA